CTTGAGAATAATGATGTGAAATTTCTTTCAATATGATTCACTGCAAAACAGTTCACAACTGGTTATGACCGTCTTTAAATTGGTAACCTCCTCCCCCCACCCCCTCCACCCACCCTCAGGCACCTACACATAAGCATACATACATTGATCATACTGGTAGATGAAATGATGACCATATCTTTCTACCTTAGAGGGGCTCTTTTTTCTTAACATTCACTGAATACTTTGCAAGATAAATGTTTGTCAGCAAGAGGTCTATTGCATTCTAGCATTTAAAAAGAAATAAGACAGATGTTAGAGATGGGGGGGGGGGTCTGCATGTAGTTTATAGTATTCAGGTATGAAACATTCTACCTGCAGTTGTGAAGAAATCCATGTGTTTTGCCGTAGGGGAGCAACAACTGGATGCCAAATGGCTCAATTTTTATCATTGGCAGCATTTTTGCTGCCACAACCAGTAGAAAGGATGTGTGAGAGAAAGCTGATAAATTTTTGTTGTCTGTCTTTTGGCACTTGTTCAGAGGTTCTCTGATACTTTTTTGTTTCATTTTCTCCCTGTTTGAGATTGAAAATTCATTACTAAGACATTGGTGTTTGTATTGAAGTTAATGACTTTGCAGATTTTTATTATTATTATTATTTTTGAGAAGGTGGACTTGGTTTGTTAATTTAGTTTTTCATGTGCCAGTAAGGCGTTAGTTACCATGGCAATCTAACTGGGAATTCTTGGCATAAGAAAGGTGATACATGTTTTGTTAAATTGGTAATAATGGATGCATTGTAGTTGATGCTAAAGTTGACTGCGGTTCTGATCCAGTGTCTTCAAGGCTTATATTGCCAGCCTCTCCATACAATTACTTCCTTGTGCGATGGTTTTCTTATTACCTCTTTCTTGTTTTATCATCGTAATTTTGTTTTGATCATGATCTCCAAAGCGTTCTAAAACATTAATTAGCCAACTTCTGCATAGCATCATTATAAATGTGTTCCTGCAATATTCCAGTTATCGATTGAAATAGGAAGTCTGGTTCATGTAGGATCCTTAAAAAAAAATACTTGTTGATGACTGATATGTTGGAGAAGTATTAAGTAGTGATTTTTCTCAGTATGAATTTCTAAGATCCAGTTCTAGGAGGTCTAAGCAAAGAACAACAGTTGCAGACAAGGTGTGAAAGCATACATAACACCTGTATCTTCCGGAAACTGCTATTGCTGCTTGCTCATTTATTGCTTGGCAAAGAATCAAATGATTAAATTAGTACATACCGCTGTGACAGAAGGGTTAGTTCTCCTACATGGTTCATTCAATTGAAATTACTTTGTGGAGTTACAGCAAATGAGGAATGAATAACACTGGGTACACATCACATTGCACTAACTCACCATATGATTTGTATTCCTTAGTTATATAGTGATCTGCAATGTTATGTTTATACTTGAAATCTTCGATCTTCTTAGATTGCTGAAAATAGAACATAATCATGCTGTTTAGCACGTACCTAAACAGACTTGAGATGAAGCTGAGAATAGCCCAGCTGTAATAGATGGGGTGCAGTCTTTTTCTTCCACTCATGGCATTGGATGTGGTATGGTTCCCTTACCTCATTCTACAATATTTTTGTATTAAAATGTTTACTTTTATAGACATGCTAATATGCATGTTGTTGTCTGTATTTATGAAAATGCATTTAGATTTTGCTAAGGACTCTTTGTTTCATCAATTATCAAATGAAACAAGATTCTTGTTTCATTCTTCTAAAGTCTTTTATGTTTTGTTCAACAGTTTCAGTTGACCTTAAAAAGAAGTTTTATTAGGTCATTTTCTGTCAAAAACTCAAAATTGCTCTCATATCAGCTACGAGAAAGTGCCTTATCTGCAGCCTGTTAAGTATGTGCATTGAAATTGCAAACTGGGGCCTTTCTAGCATTAACAAGACGAATTATCTTCTCGGTACCTTCTGTTGATGTGTACAGGTAGAGGTGAGGATGTAAATAATAAAGAACCAGATGACAATAAACCACAAGAATGTTCTGGGTGATTGTCGTTGCACAGAGATGACTAAACAGGCATGCTGTCAAACACCCACCTGGGCCAAAAGGTCAGGAAGAACCCAATCTGCATCACGGCACTTTCCTTCTATCTCGGTTCATTTTTACAATGGAGGAAAAGTGCTATGCTAACATGGAAAAGATGCTGTGAAGTAGGCAGTATAAGAATTGCACACATTGTCCTGATAAGCACGTTTTTCGCCTCTGTGGGCTGAATTCGTGGTGAATGCATGAACTGAGCGTGAAAGAAGTGAACCAATGCTTGTTTTTCTCCCTTGTTCTTTTTTATTTCTTTTGGAGTGTTAGGCAAAACATCGATATGGATCATCTAATTCACTGCTTGGTGCCTTGGTGTGTAACACTTATTAGGCACATTAGTGTACAAAATTGCTTTAAGTTGAAAAGTTGCACGGTTAGTTAAACAGAGTTAAGCTCCTGCTTAGTGATCAGGTAGAAAGTCCTAGTTGCTAACTCTGTCATTAAATCTAATGTGTCACAGTAGAATTGTTTTCAGCATTCCTGCTCTCTCCAGGTTTTGTGGGGTTTTTTTCTCTCTAAATTACTGACTCCATAATTATGATAACAATCTTTGGGGGTTGTCAAAAATGATTTGACTTCTGTGTCTTGAAGAACAAAGTAGATATTGGTGTGCAGCTTTGTTGTGTAGTGTACTGGTAAAGGTTTTATTCATCTACTTTGCCTTGCAACTATCTACTGTACTTTGGATCTTCTTTTCTTTTAATGGAGACATTTAACCTTTATTGGTTATACCTTTCATGCTCATGTCCATTACATATGAATCATTAGCCTTATGTCCTGATCTGGATTGTAGGATATTGGATGGTATCACATTCTCTGTAGATGTTATATTCATTTTCAGCCAAACATCCACCCCTCTTCTCTGTCCCTCCCCTATCTATTCATTATATCATTGTGTCTCTTCTTGAGCAGTGAAATTTGAACCATTTATTTAGTCCAGATATATAATATAAGTCTATTATCAAATGTTGTACTAATGAAAGCAAAGGGAAGAGTGCGGTTCCACTGGAGAGTCCATTACCTTGTCAATGGAAGGCATCTTCAGTCATGTCAGATAACTATCTCTTTGGCATTCACTGCTTAGCCAAGTGCATTGGAAATGTAACTGAAGTGGATGTTGGAAATGTGTACCTGTTATGTGGGCTGCATGCACTATATGGGGGCTGTGTAATGTTTTCTCCTTGACAGACTCATTTAATATTGTATTTCATGAGGGTTGCAGCCATTCAGTTTTATATTATTAACTACTGTCTTAAGACGGAAACTGAATAGAGAGAGGATCAAAAGTATCGTCAATAAGCAAGCTGTCATTCTTTTGTGTTCCTGATAATATACTCTTGCTTCACAAAGAACCACTCCAGAAGCAGCCATGTCAATCTTATAAAAATCCTCTTCATTTTTTCTGTCAACTGAAGTGGAAAACAGATTAACAGATGTAAATATTTCTCTCTATTTGCTGAAGGAAATTGTGGGAATATAAACAGAAGTTGTTTTTTGTTGGCTGAAAAACAATGGTCACACCAGCCTTGCTTATGCAGAATGCAGCTTTAAATGTGCAAAGAGCATGGGAACGAAATTATAGCCCAGATATTGTTGGCTGGATGGAGAGAAAAACCCAGCCCTAAACACACACAAAACTTCTGCTTCCAGCTGTGCTTGAAGGTTGTAACAGATTGCACAAACTGAATTACACTTTAAATAAGTTATTAACACTGCAAATTGGAAAGAAAATGTTTAAGTTTGCTTTAAATTGAATTGAATTTTGAACTTATGTCGTAGGGGTCTTTGGGTTTTACGTCAGTCATGCATTACATTATTTTCAGGGGTCATTCCTATTAAGAAAATACAAAGTTCTTTGTGATATTAGGGAAATTATAAAAAAAAAGTTATTGTTCATTAATTGATAAGGGATTTTTGCCTGTGGTTGGCACAGTGCAGATTTACATGTCATTTGCCAGTAGTTACCACTAAGTGGCCTCTTTTATCCATAATTACGATCTAGTTGCAGTTTCTGGTCATGAAAAGTTCAGCTGATATCTCACAGCAATTTAAACTGGACTTAGGCCTGTCTGTTCTACATATATAATTGGTCTGATTCCAGTTGGCTATATAGTACTGTTGCATAGCATGTGCAAGTAGGTGCATATCAGTGCACTTGAAGATGTCACCTCTTCTCTTGAAGATCAGATCATGTTCACAATCAGACTAACTGGGATCAAAAACTGCCTAACCGATTACTACTATTTGCTAAAGTAATGGTGTTTGAGTTTTAAGTTAGTCTTGTTCTGAACGCAGCCACTGTCCACCAGTCTCATGGGTCAGTGAGTCCAGTTCTACCTCATGGCTACTGCCCCAGTGTGGTGACCCTGTTCTAATAGAATAGTGAACAAAGCTGCTACAGTTTCCCTTAGCTGTTGATTTAAGGGCAATTTGAGCTGTTTAGTAATTGAAAGAATTGTTTAGCAGACCCCATAGTTCCCTATTAAAGTTAAAAAACAATATGGTGAGGTGCAAGGGCAGATTGAATGAGAGATCACAGATTTAATGCAATGTTGAGCTGTTCATGTTTGAACTTCAGTTTGAAATGATAAATAAGATTTGTGTCTAATGAATTTTGTCTTGCGATTGTTTAATATTGTCAATGATAAATATTTTTTCTTGACAAAAGCTCAAGATGATAGATGGTTATGATGTTTTTTTTCTTTCTTTTGAAGATTTTATTGGAAATTTATTTTTCGCTTTTGATAACATTTCAACAGCTATTAAAAGAAAAGCTGATTTATGAAAATATCCAAAGCAGTGGCAAATTGTAGATCGAATAAACTGATAAGAAACAATAGTGGTATTTCTGTTTTTTATGAAAATATATTTAAATCAATATTTAATTAAACATTTATTCATTTCTTCTCCAGAATTCGCAGTGGACTGGTCAGATCACGCATTATGGTGGCCAGAAGAGAATATGTGGTTGTCCAGAACAAGGTCCACCCTGGACCAATATGGTGTTTCAGCCGAGGCCAGGCTGCACTTCACACCAATGCACAAGAATCTAAAACTACAGTTACCAGACCTACAAATAATGGATGTGCGTGCAGATTTCTCTGTCAAAATTTTCGCATCTGTTATACAGATCTGCAAAGAAATGGGTAAGTGGAAGTGTGTTGTTGCTTGCCCCAATATTCACCCTTTTTTTCCAGAGGAAATAGTTAGGCGAGTGGTTTTCTGAACATTGTCCTGGATTTATGTACCCTTATTAACATTCCACCTGGTTTTCAACTAGCATTACACTTTTGTGAGAAAGAATCTGCGCCTGTTTCATTAACAAAGTGTATTCTATCCCAGATTGGCAATATATCCATATTGTAGTAAAATCCTCTGGGAGTACCAAGTGGTAATGTTTCAATTTCACCATCTACAAAGAGCTATCATAAATATTAACCCCAGGGCAGGTATTTTATAGATGTCATTTCTTTTTTGTGATGATGGCCTGACATATCTGTATTTAGCAGAGAGGGGAAGATCTCAGCCTGAAGCAATTGCCTGTGTTTTATGATGGACAAGGCCCTGTGGAAATTTCCTCCATTACGCTGCTACAATAAAGGGGTGTTTCTGACAGGATAAACCTCTTGCCAGATATACATTTTTGAAGCTAATCAGTAAACCAAAAATATTTATCAGATGTTTTACTTCTAAGGAATGTTTTTATGTATATTTTGCTCCCCTTTGTAGATTGGAGCTTGACTGATAGAATGTTTAGCTCTTTTTGGATGCTGCAGGGAAAACAGAGATGAAAGTCTTCTGATTTATTCACATATACTGATATTTGGGTATTATATTTATCCCACCCCACCCCCACTTCCTGTATAAAGCTGTGGCTGTGCGCCTTTGGCACTTGCATTTTCAGAATTTTTCCAAAGGTCCACTTTCATCTCTGAAAACAAACGCAAGCTGCAGGTTATCTCCTGTCAGTGTGCAGCTTGAAAACAGAAACCTCAAATCTGTTCTTGCAAACTGCCAATTTACTCCATTCCTAGGAATACAGGTTTGATACTGTTATTGTAAGTGCCTGCTGTCTTAAACTTGGTGTCTTTAAGTCAAAACAATGTGTCATATTCAATCAGTATAGAAATATTCATCCAGCCAATGTCACAAATTTATCTCAATTAGCATTGCCTCTCTGGCCTGAAAATTGAAAATAAATGTTTATCTAAGATTTCAAATTGATCCACCAGCAAGCCCTAGGGAAAGTGTGATCAGTTCTCTATTGTTCCTCAATGGGTTCCATTTCTTTTCATTCAAAAAGTGTCAAAAACATGATTTGAAATCTGCAAGATGTTTTTTACAATGTTATATAGACAGATGGCACTTTTTTTTTTCAATATGCCCTTGCTGTTAGCATGAATTTTTTCCCTATCACCACAGAACACATATTTTCATCACAGATGGGAGAAAATTTGGGCTACTCTTGTATGTTTATTTGACAAAGGAGAAAATTCCATTAAATGGCTGTAGTTCGTGCTGGAATCCATCCTTTCCCCTGCAGAGATGGGCAAGCCTCCAGGTCTACCTGAACCAGGTGGTAACGGTGAAACCCCTGGAAGAACTCTGCTCACTGCTTGTTAAAGCTAACAAATTTCTCTGCTCAGCATCTGAATTGCATGAATCTGCTAATTCATCCTTCCCTTTAAATGAAAAGTTTTGGCATTTGGAATTTTAGAATTATTTCAACTTGCTGATTTTCTGTACTCGTTTTCTATCTTTCCTCATAATATGAAATTATGTTATATTAACCAAATGGCATGTTTCTTTCTAGTTTGGGTTTAATGGCCCTTTCTCTGTGGATTAAGGAAAGTGTGTTTTGAGAATGATAAAGGTTGCGGGGCACCACCATGAGCTCACAGATAGGGCTTGAACACCAGTGGTTAACCCATGATATATTTTCCCAGACATTAATGTTCTCATTAATTATAATGCAATCCAGTGCATTTTCGCTGTGATATAGCCAATTTTGCAGAACAGGGTTTCAGAGGAAGGAATTCCACAGTTAGATTTATAACAGTACCTTTAAAATACGTTAGATATTTGAAAATTGTCTTGAATAGTTCATCGTGAGTTCAAGAGTATGGTAAGCCTAGATATTGTGTAAAAAAATAATAAAATAGATCCAACATCTTTCTTTGGGTCTGACAGCTTGCTGGCCAATCTTCTCAGGAAAACTTCTGGGTGATAATTCATTAAACTGAGAGCCTGTTCCTACCAAGACAAGTTTTAAATCTAAATTGGACAAACTAGCGATATCAGATAACCAAATAGATTAACCATGAATTTAAAAGTCACAGGAAGACTGTTGAGTCTGTCTCTTTGCCGAGAATAATTTACAGAGAGACCTCATTTGGGCTCAGACTTGTGGATCCCAGGTTAATCAATCTGGTTATGGTAGGGCAGGTTTGTCTGATCTTTGGTCTAAGGTGATCATGGTGTGAACATGCCTGGAGAACATCCATTAGTGGTTGGAGGCAGTAAGTGTTGGTAAAGGGAATGGTTGAAGTGGACATTTATTAAAGAGAGATAAATTACACTGGCCGGGGCATCTGGTTCAAGAATACTTACTTTTGCAGGCAGAAATTGTTTTTGATGTGCTTGATTTCATACTGAAATTTAGAATGATCACTCCTGGATTCTTTTAATTTTCTTAAAAATTTAGAAATCAAACTCCAATTTGAATATGTCAATGTGTGTGTGTGTGTGTGTGTGTGTGTGTGTGTGTGTGTGTGTGTGTGTGTGTGTGTGTGTGTGTGTGTGTGTGTGCATGTGTGTGCGTGAGAGAGAGAGTAGATGAGGTTTAAACCACATAATGTATATATGTTTTTGGTTCAGTCTCAGGCAGTGTGAGTGAAATTACATGGTTGAAAAGGACCAATAATAGTTAAATTGCCATGGTGTTCAAGTGAACTCCATCTTGTAGAGCACAGAATGCACTCCAGTCAGTACTGTGTGATGATGTTGTTCATCCACAGGTAGAGCTGTTAACATACCTAGTTACTCAGCATGTGCTTAGATGCTCCTTACATACCTGACCTTTTTCCTGCTGAAGGAGTAAATCAGGACCCAATTATAGTCCATCATATTTTATCAATGTGTATTTCTTTTCATAAATAAATAAAATATGAAATACTTTGAATAATCCAGGTGACAATTATAGGTTAACTTATGAATTTTTAGCCTGATATCAGTTTAAGGCTGTTTATTTGACTATACATGCTTTTTGGCAGTTGGTGAAGGATGATATCAATAGTAATACTTTTCTCTTTCAGGTATCAGGCACCCAGAAGAAGTATCACTGTGGAGGAAAGTTGACAGAGATGAGCTGAGGAACAGAAACAATGTCCAGAAGAGGAGAAGACAGCCAGACTCCCCCTCGGGGACCCTCAGTCCTGGGGGTGGGGGCACCAGTCCGTACTTAACGATAAATTCTAACCACAGTGGAGACTCTGGTCAGGGAGGTCTCTTTCCCAGAACACCGCAGGTCAGTAGATCAACTGCCTGGTGGGGCTAGGGTCAATCATAAAATGGTTCTTTTCTCTTGCATTAATACACTCCATGTTTTGTCACTAGGTGTTAACATTATCATTTGACTTATGTATTACATAGAATATTTTATGCAGATCCCCCATTCCTCCCTCTCTCGGGCCACTTTATAAAGATTATTATGAAAAATTCTTTCTGAGATGACTCCAAAACTGGTGATAAACATGCAGTTTTATCTATTGACACTGTTGCCAAACTAAATTGATTGGACATTACTGGTTTGTTCTGGATGTCCTCAGGGTTCAGATTTTTATCTCTTTTATATAGTGTGTGTCAACAAGTGATGACAGCATGGGTTTACTGACTTAGTTATTTGTGCTATGCAGATGATGAACCAAGTCCCAAGTTTAATGAGTCTTAACCCAGAATAACCTATGTTAATAGGATGTCAGTGTGTGTGTTTTCTGCATACTTGAACATAGATGTCCAGTGGGGGCTAAGTTCCTGTAGAAAAAAAAACGCTTATTATACATTCAACAAGCGTGACTGAGGGTATCCATCAATGCGCCCTTTACCTGTCATATATCGGAATTTCTTAAAGCCATTAACACCTGAGGAATTCTATGGAAGCAGCACTGATAAGAATAGGCGACAATTTTGATACCCAAAACAGGTTTCGACATGACATTGCATGGCAATGTCAACTCGGGTTTCTTCCTTTTTTGTGCCATGGTTTTACATGAGGATATATTTTAACCTTAGTTATGTCTGGGGAGGTCGGCTAACATGTTCTGCATCCGTGAAGATGTCACCACAGAGAGCTGTCAAATCCTATTACAGCCAAACTGTGTTCTATGTAGACTTGAGATTAACATAACATTGGTGTGGAACAGAAAAACCCCAGTGGTGGAAAGACTTGCATAATAGAATTTGCTGTTGTTACCACCTGTTGTCACTGTTGAGCATTAGTGATATGTGTCGTGAAATCATGGACACATACTGTATGTGGAATAAAATGAATAGATTGTAGTCAACACTTTTGCCCCCACCCCCACCCTTCCTTAGTGTTTCAGCACTTTAACTCTTCCTGACCATATTTATTGACAGCAGCAAGGATACTTATTTGATCAACTCCTAATAAAAATTACTAATGCCTTCATACTGGGGTCAACCTTGGTGGAAATGACTGTGGATTGTCTAATTATGGAATTAGAATAAGGATATGAGGACATGAAGGAATGGTAGATGATAATCTCATTAAGGATATATTAAATATTTTATGTGCAGAGGGCATGAGATTTTCATTGAATGGGGTCAGTTGTTTTAGCTGCTGTATTGTTACTGTGGTGATAAGCTACATACTTTTTAAAATGCTAAAAACACCCCACCTTGTATGTGAAGAAATATTGGCTAGGAGGATTAGCCTTATTCAAACCTTGGCAAGCTCTGTTTGCAGCCTTCACTTTCTGGTGTTTTTCTTTAACTCCACCCAAAACCAGTCATAATTATCAGCTGTTCAAGCAGAGAAAAGTTTTCTTCTACTGTCAGATCTTAACCCTCAAAATCTAAACAAGTTTTGAAAATTGAATGTTGTCTTCATGAATTGCAAGAAGGCTGCGAGTGGCAGAGAACTATGAAAAAAAAAGCAAACCAGAGAGGCTTGAAAATTTTATGAAGGAGAAGATGAATGGCTGGGTTTGATCAGTACATTTATACCAACGTCGACCTGTATTGACTCCCAGCTATGCATCACACTTGGTTTTAGAAATGAGTGATTATGTTAGCAAAGAGGAGAACGGGAGTCAAAATCGACCCATGGGGAGCAGAAACTCATCCAACAATCAATAAAACCGCATCTCCGTGTACTACTAAATCATTATTAATATCTATCTAATCAAATAACTCGCGGAAGGCTGGGGACCGAAACTGAAACATCAGACCCATTGCTCAATTTTATGTCAAAATGATGCAGGCTGAGCATCAGCTGTCTATTATAATAATGATAAATTATGATAGGCAGTATTTTCTTCCTATATTTCATTAATTGAATAATGTGCTCCTTTTAGATTTACAGAAATTTCCTTTGGCCTATATTTGTTTTGTATAGTATAAATTTTCATGACAGCATACAGACGTGATTACTACAATCATTCTTCATGCATTTAGAATATTGACATTATATCATGGTTATCACGATGACTTTTTAAATCTCATATGTAATTAAGAGTTTTGTAATGAATTGGGATTTAAATAACAAAAAGTTAGATTATATTTTTGATATATGAATTACAAACTTACTTTGAATAATATTTTTTGTTGCAAATGAAATCTAAATCATGATATTATAAGTATGTCAGTTAAGTTTATGATGATGTCTCTATATTTCAGGGCACCCTCTTGCGGCCAGGTGGTTCCACCCCTGGGTCCCCTTTCACCCCCCACACTCCAGCCTCCCCCTACAGTTACAATGGCACCCTGTCCCCAGGGTCCATGAGCAGTCTGTCCTTTGAGGGCAGCCTCGAGACGTCCCTCATCAACAGTCCACAGACACCTAGCAGGGAAGCCTTCAACCATCTTTACAGACCCAAGTCATACGCTGATAAGGCAAAAATGAATGCATGGTAAGCCTACAGGTTTTTCGTACAGAATAGAAAATTAGTTGATACTAAAGCAAAATTGAATTTATGGTAAGCCTACAGGTTTTTTAACAGAATAGATAACAAGTAACCACTAAGCCAAAATTGAATACAACTGTGTTTATGACCAAGTTGTTTTGGAAGATTCGCAGTTTGAGATAAAACAATGAATGTTATTACAATAAGGACAAAGTTTTCAAAATTTCATGAAAGTTTGTTGTTTTAAACCAAAGCAGTATATGGCAGATCTAAAAATGGCATAAATTTTGTGCAAAGGTTACTGGGTGGGAGTTCTTTTGAAAACCCAACTCAGACAGAGAGAGATTATGGGTAGGTAGTTGATATATATTATATTGATAATGATAAAGCATCGTTAGAGAGACTTTAACCTTTCGAGTGGAGAAAGAAATGTTCTTACTCTTGGGTACATGGATTGAAGTCTTGTAAAATGGAGAGCTGCTTGCATTGATTGCACATGAATTGACTTTTATCTGCAAGATTGATGTAATTCAGTGACTTTCAGTTCGTGTTTTTGTTTTATTTTCTAATCTTAGCTCAAGAAATCAAATGAAACCACTGATAGTACATTGTCCTTCGTCTGACTCATTCGTTTGATTCTGTAGAAGCTTACAGTTTCAGGTCTCCCAGCAAGGAAATGAAAGGCATTTACAAACAGATTTGTATTCTGTTGTTTTAGCTAGAGCCCCTCATTCACCTACGAAAAAAGACATAAAAGCCATGCAAGAATAACAACATATTGTCTTGGTTTTTCTTGGATGCATTGGAAACTTTGCATCTTTTATTACCACGAGGGAGCTCTTCTCCTCGAGCTACTTTTTTCATGACTGCAATTATGCAGGGACATGTCTGTACCCTATGGGACTTTTTTTTTGTACCTGGCCCTCCATTCAAGTTGTTTGTGACTGATTCAGCTCTGCCAGGCTTGAATACATTTGTATGGTAGGTGCTTCAGAACTGTGAGCCCACCCAGGAATCTTTTAATTCACGTCACTGGAAGTAACATTATCCCTTCACTGCTGATAAAACATGGTCAAAAAAGGCAACAGAGGAGATAGCAATAACTTCTGTTGTGCTCCTCTCTTTGTTTTGACCGGGCAATATCTTTGCTGCCAGTCATACTTTGATAATTGGATGAAAATGTGTTGTTTTTTCTTCCTCCTTTATTACTCCTGGTTGTCTTGTATAAAACATGTTTTCTATTTTTACAGCTTGGTGTTTTCACCAAGACAAATAGTTTGGAACCTCAGAACATCGGGTTGCATGGAGATAAGATGATGGCATGTTGTTGTGGTTATGGATTTTAGACATAATCATTTTTATAGAGTTGGAGCCAAAAAAGAGAAAGTCATTTTAAATCCTATATTCTTATACATCATCAGTCTCTTTTTGTACAGGTAACTCATGTTTTAATTCGACACTTTGGTCTACAGTCAAATAGTTTAATTAGTTTAATTTACTAGAGCCATATTTATAGTAATTTTTCTGTGAAAGGCAGCATTCAGTTTCATTTTCTTTGCACTGCAACTGTATAAACCTCAATCTAAATTTTTTTTTTTTTTTTTTTTTTTTTTTTTTTTTTTTTTTTTTTTTTTTTTAAAAAATTTTTTGGGGAAAAATATTACCTGAAAAATTTTTTTTTTTTATTTTCCCCCCCTTTGGA